TTTTGAAAATTCATCAGGTTGTACATTTACTTTGGGCACTTTTTTTTTTTATATTTCTTACAACTTTCTTTTAGAAGTTGTGTGTTGGGGTGGACTATCCAGACATACACACATACAAAGAGGTTCCGATGATCACAACCTTTAGGGTGTAGGCAGATTAGACCATGTCATATGTTGAGTTCCTTGGAGGCAGATTCTGAGACCAAGTTTTGCATGCAAATGTTTTATTGCAGATAGGACACATTTGGCAAATACATCTACGAATGAAATGAAGAAGGCAGGAAGAGTCAAGAGAAATACACTGACCCCCAAAGTGGTTACATCTGAGTACTCAGCTGACCTTGTGATGAGCTCTGGAGCTGAAATGGCCCTCAGACTTGCCTCAAATGAGGCAAGGAAGCTTAATCTTTGCATCTTAAATTAGCCAGTCGCTGACTGTGGGCTCCTGGGAGCATAAACTAGAGTAGGCAGTTCCCTGCATCCTATAGCAATGCCCAGTAAAAACAAAACAAAGCTTCACATTCACACCTTCAAGAGCTAGTATTTCCATCAGCTATGGGATAAGCACTTTAGCTATGAAGAGAGGATCTGGATTGAAGCATCACAGTATCCACTATAGAGGGATATTCAGGTATTCTCATATAGTCAGTTTTACTGTTTAATGGTTATCATGGTGCACAGTATTTTACCATGAGTATACAGCATTTTAATTAAAATACTCCAGTAAAGTTTAGTATATCAAGGAGACATGACAATGAAACCAATATGTAATCCTGGATTGGATTATGATTTTATACATATATGGCATGCTAATTAGTATTTTCACTAAAACACTAAGTTTTACTATGTAATATAGTATCTTACTATGAGCACACAGCATTTTTATTAAAAATAAACAGACTTCATGTTCAAATATTTAGGAACACACTTTAAAAAATACTACTGGAAACGTGACTCAAGTGCCATTTCAACTGTGCATCTTTATGCAGCTGATGATTAAACCCGAGCCATTTTTTACTCTTCCTTCTCTTCTATCAACTCATATGGCTCCTTCTGTGATAAGACTCCTCTATCCTCTTCTGTCACTGCCACTAATTCTGGTCCCCACTTTCATCTCCTCAAACCTAAAATGTCTCCTGTGTCCAACTTCACCCAAGCTGTTTTTTTTTAAGATTTTTTTTTTAATCTGTCAGAGAGAGAGAGAGAGCACAAGCAGGGGAAGCGGCAGGTAGAGGGAGCGGCAGGCTCCCTGCTGAGCAAGGAGCCTGATGTGGGACTCGATCCCAGGATCCTGGGATCATGACCTGAGCCGAAGGCAGATGCTTAGCCGACTGAGCCACCCAGGCATCCCTCACCCAAGTTGTTACAGGGATTAGAGGAATGCTCCACTGCGTGACTTGCATTAATTCCTCAAATAGTCATTGAAAGCCTGTATAAGGCTTTAGGGAAATAACTTTGGGCAAGAAGACAATCCCTCCATTTCTTATAAACATTGATTTCCAGTGAGTGAGGCCTCAGTCAATATCAAGATAAATAATTTCATAGAAGTTGTGATAAAAATGCTATGAAAAAGTACCAGATGTATGAAACCATATGATGTCAAGACCTGGATTAGGAGGACACAATGTTTTCTAAAGTAAGCAAGATGAGCCTTTAAGAACAAAAGGATAAAGTTCAAAGGAAGTATGCTCTATGCAAAGAGAATACCATGCTTCTGTCTACCTTCAGGCTCTGGAGGTGGCACAGCGTACTCAAGGAACTAAAGAAGAAAGCCAGTAGCCACATTCTGGAGCTTAGGGTTTAGTTGGGAAACTGGTAAGTAAGCAAGGGCAATATAAAGCCATTAGAAGTAGGAAAAATCCTTTCATTTTGAGATAATTTCAGAATTGCAAAATTATAAAAAAGAATTTCCTTATACTTTTCAACCACATTCTCCAAATGTTAACAACTTAAATGACCACAGTAGAATCATCAAAATCAATTGATTCAATACTTATTATCTAACTTACAGACCTTATTTTACCAACTAATGTCCCTTCTCAGAATCCAATCCAGGATTACATATTGGTTTCATTGTCATGTCTCCTTAGTTTCCTTTAATGTGGGATAGTTCCTCAGTGTTTATCTTTCATGGCCTTGACACTTTTGAAAAGCACTGGCCAGTTATTAGGTAGAATATACTTCAATTATGGTTTATCTAATGTATCCTCATGATCAAATTCAGGTTATACATTTTGGGCAATAATACCACAAAAGTGATGTCGTGTCCTTCTCAGTGCATCATTTCAGAGGGAAAATGATGTGGATTTGTCCCACTGTGATGTTAACATTGATTACTTGGTTAAGGTAGTGTCTGTCAGTTTCTCCAATGTAAAACTATTCACTTTTTACTTAAATATCTTTGGGAAGATACTTTTTTTTTTTTAAGATTCACTTATTTGAGAGAGAGAGAGTGAGTCAGGGGAGGAACAGAGGAAGAGAATCTTCAAGCAGACTCCCCAGTGAGCTCAGAGCCTGACGCAGGGCTCGATCTCACATCTCACGACCCCAAGAGATCACGCACGACTCATGAGATCACGACCTGAGCTGAAATCAAGAGCCGGACATTTAACCAACTGAGCCTCCTAAGCACCCCATCTTTGGGAAGATATTTTCTATGTGAATATTGTTTCTCAATGTACTTTCACCCAATAATTTTAGCATCCATTAATGATTCTTGCCTGCATCAATTATTTCTGTGGTATTTGCAAATGGTGAAATCTTTTCAACTCTTCTACATTAGCTGCAATGCTACTCTAAGGAAGATTTTTTTCCTTCTCCCCTGATTTATTCATTTATTTTTTATCAGTAATGACTCATGGATTTATATTTTATTCCGTGAGTTGTAATTCATTACTACTATTATTTTATTGCTCAAAATGTCCCCTGTCCCATTGGAATCCCTTCAGGTTGATTGCTAGGTCTTTTTTTGAGCACATCCCTACTTTCTGGCACTGCAGATGTTCCAGCTCATGTACTTTTCCTTCTCCAGTTTGGAATTAGCAAAGAGATAATTTCTCTAAAGAGCCTGGGTTGAGACACCACCTGGTATATTCACTGGTTCTGGGGTGTCATTGCCTTAGGCTCTCTCAGCAGATAGAGCTAAAAAGTATACTTATGCATACATCTGTGTTTATCTATATCTATAAAATCATGAGTTGTATTGATACCTCCAATTCCAATCAAACATGACAGGGTTCATTATAGCCTTATAAGTGTCCTTTTTTTTGAGAGAGAGAGAGAGTGCATGCATGGGCACGCCTGCCCCTGTGAATGGGGGGAGAGGGAGACGGGGAGGGAGATGGAGAGAGAATCTTGAGCAGACTCCACACTGAGTGCAGAGCCCAACATGGGGCTCCATCTCACGACCCTGAGATCCCAACCTGAGCTGAAACCAAGAGTTGGACGTTCAACCCAGGAGCCCCCGGAGGGTCCTTTTCTTTCTCTCCCTTTCTTTCTTTCTCTTTCTTTTTTCTTTTTGTCTTTCCTTCCTTCCTCCCTCCCTTTCTTTCCTTCCTTCCCTCCCTCTTCCTTCCTTCCTTCTTTTTTTTTACTTCAATAAATATTTACTGAACACCTGCCATTGGCCAGGCTCTGTGCTAGATATTGAGGATATAATATTGAACAAAACTGGTATGGTTCCTTGGTCCCTGTCCCTGCCCTCGTGAAGCTTAGATCCTACAAGGTACAATTTATTAATTATTCCCTTTTCTCCAAAATTGCTAAATTTAAATTTATGATTTTCACTGGCTTTTTCTCAGCAGGCTTTAAAATAGGCCACAGAAGGATTTTTATGATCAGTTCTACATTTCTTTTATTTTTAGTTCTATATTTCTTAAAAGGTCATTCTATTGGAGAATCAAAGGAAGAAAGAACTGGAAGGCCAATTTTCAAATCAGTTGAAGGGGGTGAAAGCAAATGTGGGGAGACCAATTTGAGACTTGTAAGTAGTCCAAGGTAAGAGATGACAATCAACTGGACTGAGGTGAAGGCAGGAAGAATGGAAACAATTGTATCTGAGAAACATTTAGGAGAAATATGGACCATTTTGGTCACTGACTGAAAGGGAGGAGGATGAGGTAAGGGAGAAAAATGACTCAAGGAGGACTCCTAGGTTTCTCGGAGTGTGTACAAAAATACTGGTTCACATTTCCATATATTATAAACACAACTACATGGCTCTTCCATTAAATTGTAAGCAACCTGATGACAAGAACAGTGTAACAGTGTATGGTTCATATATTTGTATCCCCACTGTCTCCTCCTACAATGTCCAGTACAAAGTTGGAGCTCAAGATATGTTAAACAAGTGATGGAATGGATGACCTTCCTCAGAATTACCAAGTTGAGATTTCAGCTGTAGAGACTCAAATTAGATAAAACACCCTCATAAAGGCCTAAAACTCCCTAAGCAGAAGAAAAGTATGTATGCTGAATATCTATTCACCCAAAAGGGTATATCCTGGTCTATTAGTTTATTATGTACACTTTCTCTTCTATCATTAATTCATCTTACCCAAGACTTAAAACACAAAAGCTATAAAACAGAGGTAAGTGTTTGGCTCTAACAATGAATTTCACTTCGCACCTATCAGACTGCCAAAAATTAATGCCTGTTAATTGCCTATCCCTGGCAGGGGGTGGAGGTAAGGAGAGGCCTCTGTTTTCTCACCTCTCAAATGGGGCTATGGGGTTTAGGTGAGAAGTTTCTAGCCTCAAGCAGGCATTCTGTAAAAGTTGACACTCTTTTCATATATCTATATACTCCTTCATGATCCAATTCAAACCACTCCTCCAACTAGGAAGCCTGCCCAGACCACCAATATGCAGCAATCTCTTTTTCCTTCTCTGAGCTCCTGGAATACTTATCTAGCAAAATTCTTCAAAAATTAATGAAGGGTAGTCCTGTGATTGCTCTTGTATAAATCGCTTTCTTTCTCACTTGTTTAAAGACTACTCACATAGTCATATACTGTTCTCCAGTGAAGTCAGATATGTCTTCATACGTCAATGTGAAGTCAGCTATGCCACTTATTTGCTATGACTTCATCTTGCCAATTTTCAATGTTCTCATCTGTAAAACGGGAGACATAGATACCTATCTGGTAAGGTTGTTGTTAGGATTTGAAATAATGTGTGTAGAGGGTCCAGCACATGCCACATATTTGGTACTCAGCAAATAGAGGCCAACAAGCACCAGTGAGGGCAGTTGTCAGATCTTTTTCAAATTTCAATTTGAAATTTGAAATTTGTCCCAGATATAGCAATTTGAATTGAAATTTGAAATTTGTCCCAGATATAGCAATTTGAAATTTGTCCCAGATATAGTACCTCACAGAGTGCTCACACATGGCTGCTGCTTGATATTAAGTTTATTTTTATTCCACCTTTTCCAAAAAAGATTTAAGGCAGCAAGGTGTTCAACAAATATTTGTTAAATGATTACAGGCCATACTTTCCAGTGAGATGTTCTTTCTTCCATTCAGCTTTTTCCATAATAAGCAAAACACCACAATATTGTGACTTTTTAAAAGTTTTTAATTATCCTTCACTTGCACCAAGGATTTCTTCTGTTACTTTTTAATCTAATTAAACAAAAAAATTTAACTATAAAATACATGCTCATGGTGATAATGAAAACATTATGAGGTAATAAAATGAAAAGTAAGCTCTTCTCCCCATATTGTCTTACCATCCAGAGGTAATATTTTTTAAAAAACAATTTCCTACATATCCTTCTAGAAATTTCCTTACATATACACCCTAAAGTTAAAATAAAATAAAATAAAACAAGTAAATGGGATAGTACTATAGATACTATCAACTACCTGCTTTTTTCACTGAATATGTAGTTAGTATTTATTGGTTTTGGCGTTTGGCAACTATCCTACCTTCTTTAAGCTATTACTTAAAGATTTGCTCTCATTTAGTGTCTTATTAATATAGGTTCCACCAGGGTCTTTTCATCTCTTTTGCTATACTCTATCCCCAGCACCTAAATAAAACCTGAAACATAAACATATGGTCAATAAGTATTTGCAAATGAATATACTTCCTTTTGAGGAACTGCCTTCATTCATTTAAGGTATACTGTCCACTCTTAGCTAAGTAGCAAGAAAGACTGATTAGATGCTCCATCCTAGATTTTGAACTGTGAGCAGAATAAAAACAGTGCTGAATTCCAGTGCTGAACCCATTTAAGCATGAGGAATGTCCCTGCTAGCAATATTCTCTGGGGTGGCTGCTACTTCACTGTTCTAGCCTGGTTCTCCTGCCTTACCTCCAATTTTGTGAACTAACCCATATCTTCCCAATGAATTTCCCTTCGGTTGTTAGTTTGGCATTTCTCAACCTGAGGACTACCGACATTTTTTTTTTAAGATTTTCTTTTTTTAAGTAAGCTCTACACCCCACGTGGGGCTCAAACTCACAACCCCGAGATCAAGAGTCCCAATGCTCCACCGACTGAGCCAGCTGGGTGCCCCAGCACTACTGACATTCTGAGCTACATAATTCTTTGTTCTGAAGGGCTGTTCTGTGCATTGCAGTATGTTTAGCAGCATCACTGGTCTTACCCACCAGATGCCAGTAGCATCCCGTGTAACAATCAAAAATGTCTCCAGACATTAACAAACGTCCCCTAAAGGAGCTGAATTAGCTAGTTGATTTCTGTGGAACAACAACAAAAATCCTAACTGATGGCTACTATATCTTCGGCAACTTTTCCTTATGGCCTGTATAGAAATACCTCATTCGTTTAAATAGTTCAGCTATATCATATTATATTCTGTCATACGTTATTAAAAGTCTACTAATAATGGATTTCAAGGTTTTTTTCTGGCGTTATAATTTTTTTAAAGATTTTGTTTTTAAGTAATTTTTACACCTAATGTGGGGCTCGAATTCACAACCCCAAGATCAAGAGTCACTTTTTCTACCAACTGAGCCAGCCAGGTGCCTTATCTGGTATTAGTTTAAATAGCAGCTTTATGGAGATATAATTCAAAACACCATATACTTCATCCACTGAAAATCTATAATTCAATGGGTCTTAGTATACTCAGAGTTGCAATCCTCACTGCAATCAATTTTAGAACAATTTCATCACCTCAAAAAGAAACTTCTGCATACCTTAGTATTCACCATCCCCAAAGCCCTATTTGCCACAGCCCTAGGCAACCATTAATCTATTTTCTATCTCTGCAGACTTACCTATTCTTAACACTTCATGAAATGGAATCCTAGAACATGTGCTCTTTGGAATTATTTCACTTAGTGTAATGTTTTCAAGGTTCATCCATTTTGTAGCATGTATCAGTACTTCATTCCTTTTGGTTGTTGAACAATATTCCATTGCATGGACATACCACATTTCATCTATCCATTCATTATTTGATGGACACTGGGTTGCTCCACTTTTAGTCTATTATGAATGATGCTACTATGAATATTCATCTACAAGTTTTTTATGTAGACATGTTTTCACTTTTCTTGGGTAAAGACCTGGAGGTAGAACTGCTGGGTCATTTGGAAACTATGTTTTACCTTCTGAGGAGCTGCACTGTTTTCCAAAGTGGTTGCACCATTTTATCTTCCCAACAGTAGTGTACTAGAGCTCCAATTTCTTCATATTCTCACCAACATTTGTCCTTTTTTTGATTTGTATCTCCCTAATAGTTAATGTTGGTGAGCATATCTTCATGTACTTACTGGCCATTTGTATATCTTTTGAGAAATGTCTATTCAGATCCTTTGTCCATTTTTTAATTGGGTTATTTGTCTTCCTACTATAGAGTTGTAATAAATCTTCATATATTCTAGATACAAGTTCCCTTTCAGATACATGATTTCCAAAATTTTTTTCCCACTCTGTGGAATGTCCTTTCGCTTTCTTAACAGTATCCTTTGTAGCACAAAAATTTAAATTTTTTGTCAATCTTTCAGGTAAAAATAGTGTGCCATGAGCAGCCAGTTCAGTTTGCACCTCAATCACGTGTGTGTGTGTTTATCTGAGACAACCATCATATTTGGATGCAAACGTGTACACATTTCCCATTTCACCAAACAGAATATTAAAAATGTGTGTATGTAAGGGTCAAGATTTAATGAAATAAATATTTTTTATTGCTTACTCAAGAACAATCTTTCTTTTTTTTTTAGAGAGAGCGAGAGAAAGAGCATGAGCATACTCAAGGGGTGGAGAGGGGCAGAGAGAGACTCTTAAACAGGCTCCATGCCCAATGTGGAGCCCAACATGGAGCTCAATCTTACAATCCTGAGATCATGACCTGAGCCAAAATCAAGAGTTGGATGCTTAACCAACTAAGCCACCCAGGCACCCCAATCAAGAACATTCTTAAGTGAACTTCTGTTTTCCTTTTACTGCATGTCCATGGTGGTGAAAAGTATATAACATTAGTACAGTTTAGTGCCAATGCCTTAAATGGTGCTAAGGTACAAGCAGTTTCACCCATCATTGCTTGTTCCATCAGTGTAAATGCCAATGCAGTGAAAAGGGCAAATAATGTTGTAGTATTATGAAAATAATCTTGACCTGACATACTCCTGGAAAGGTTCTCAAGGAGCCCTAGGGGTCTGCTAGACCACATTTTAAGAACTGCTACTCTATGACATTCATGTTTATTTGAAAAGGAAAAAATATTCCTTACATGTACATTTTCTAATAAACTGATATTCCAGAACAAGATACAAGAGGGAATATGTGACATGTTATCTTCTGATTTTTGCCTACGTTTGACATACCATTGCACATCCCAGGGACACATAACCCAGAGAGAGGAATTTAAGCAAGGATAATGAAAAGTAATGGGTCATCCACCATAATTAGGAGGAGAAGGCAAATTAGTGGATGATGATATTATGTAAAATTACTTACCCTTTGTAAATATCTACTGCATTAGAATGGATATAAGCTTTTAGGACTCTATTCTCTAAGTAGCAAATAAAGATAGACAGGTCTTAGACTGTCCTCTATAAGGCCAGTGAAGCCTTTGTACAGAATTAAACAAAGTCAATTCAAAGTAATCCTATAGATCCTAAGCCAGTAAAATGTACTCTGGAGACCAAACTCTCCCCGTAAAAGTCCTTTAGAGATGGGCACCTTATCTACTTAAGAACTACTTAGCCTATCTAAGGATCTTCAAGCACTAACAGCCGTGTTTGAGCAAAGTTGAAAATAGTTACAGACCACAGACCATGGCCAACTTACTGAGATTTAACTTGTCTTTATTTCTAATCTTTATTTTCTAACTTCAAAGTTAATCCCCCTAAATCACTCTCACCTTTATTCAAGAACTTTTAGTAATAATTAAAAGCTAACACTAATGGACCTCTTAACCATGTGCCCAGCACTGTACTGAACAATTTAAATGAATCTTCTCATTTAATCCTTCCAGTAATCCAATGAGGTAAATTCTATAGTTCTTTTCCTGGAGATGAGGAAACTTGGCTTAAATAGATTCAATAACCTGCCCAAAGTTGCTGAGCTTCTGAGTGGCAATACTAAGACTCAAACCCAGGCTCTTGACTACTGCACTATTTCCGCAGAGATACTACTGGTCTAATAATCACTTAGGGAACTTGTTTTAAAAAAAAACAAACAAAAACAAACAAAAAACCAACTAACTGGGCACAACGACAAGGCACACACATCAGAATTTCCAGGGCGAGTCTCTGGTTTAGGAACCACAGATTAACTTCCCATTTCCTAGAGAATGGAGATTTCCTATGTCTAAACTACTCCTCCCATCAAGATTCTAGGATAAGGGCAAAATTCCTTAAATTGGTCTACAAAGTTCTTCATTGTCTGTCACTTGATTGACCTTTTTTGGTTCCATCTTGCCCCAAGTTCCCTTTTTGTTTCAGTCTCTCCTATTAATTACAGGGCTTTCCTTCACAGGATATTTGCACATGCTGTTCTTTGGTCTGGAATGCTCATCCCTCCTCCCATTGTCTATTTAACTCTTGCTCTTTTTCAGGCTTCACCATAATGGACAATTCCTGAGAAAAACTTTCCTGACTTCCCTGTCTAGGTCAAATCCCTAGTTATAATCTCTCATAACACTATGTACCACATTTACAAATTAAAAAATATTTATGTGATAACCTCTCTCTCATTATAAACTATACAAAGGTAAGTAATATGCTTGTTTTTGCTCATTATTGTATTCCCAGTACCTAGCTTAGTACCTGTCACATAAATACTGCATGTTCAATAAATATTTGTTGAAAGAATTAATAGATTCAAGGCCTTTTAAACTATTCTGTATTTAACCAACCAAATATATTTTTCACTCTTACTCAACAGAGATCTACAGTTCTAGTAACAGAGGTTAACTCTTCTCTTTACATCTTTTCATCCTTATCCAGACCCAAGATCTTTCTCCACTTCACCTATATACACTTATAATTCACCTGTTCACCTACAATTCCTCCTACTGCTACAAGGTAGAACCTAAATTTCCTTTGTTTCACAAAGTTCTCTCTCTTTTTTTAAGATTTTATTATTTATTTGACAGAGAGAGACATGGCAAGAGCAGGAACACAAGCAGGGGGAGTGGGAGAGGGAGAAGCAGAATTCCCGCTGAGCAGGGAGCCCGATGTGGGACTCGATCCCAGGACCCTGGGATCATGAGCTGAGCCGAAGGCAGACGCTTAACAACTGAGCCACCCAGGCGCCCAAGTTCTCTTTAACACACCAGCCCTTATCAAATGCCTCTAAACTTCTAAATCACTTTGTATTTCCATGCCATTCATTTGGCAGTCCATCATACGCTATATTATGTAATATTTCATATGCAATTACCTTGTTATATTTTTTAATGATTTATTTTTTAGAGTGCATGAGCCCACGAGCAGGGGGAGGGGCAGTGGAAGAGGGAGAGAGAATCCTCAAGCAAACTCCCCAAAGAGTGTGGAGCCTGATGTGGGGCTCAATCCCACAGACCTGAGATCATGACCTGAGCTGAAGTCAAGAGCTGGACACCTAACCAACTGAGCCACCCAGGTGCCCCTGTTTTATTTTTTTAATATAACCATTGTTAGAGAGTTTGTACGTTCTTAAATAGTAGTTTAATTTGCTACTGGAGTATCCAGGCACGTCATAAGTCCTCTGTAAACATCTGTGGAATGAATTAATGAAGAACTTTCTGTGGCCTGCAATGTATCAGCCTGCAGTTATCAACAAATTTAGCAAATGACAATTCTCTTTGGAGGGCACTTGTTTATTTTATACTATTTCTCTATGGAATACCTCCAGGGACCCTTTTGGCAGACAGTTCAAACAAGTGTGATGGAAGAACATTAAAGTAAGATACTATTTTAAATTTCCTGACATATTTAGAGTGATTCTGTACTCAGGGATTTCTAAATCCATTACAAAATTATTAATATATTTCATAACTCTCTAGGACAGCGTAACTCTCTTGGCCGAATGAGTATCATTTACCACAAACTTTAACCCTATGTAAAATGCAGTACATTTCAACATTTTTCCCCCTTTGGTGAGACTAAGATTTAAGTAATTAAGACTTTTTTTCTTTCAAAATCAGAAAGTAAATTATAATTCCAACTACCTGAGTCATTTTTTTTTAAGCTTGCTTTATTTGAGAGAGAGCACGTGCAGGGAGGCGGGGCAGAGGGAAAGGGAGAGAGAGTCACAAGACAACTCCATGCTGAGCGCAGAGCCTGATAGGGGATTTGCTCTCAAGACCCTGAGATCACGACCTGAGCCTAAACCAAGAGCTGGATGCTTAATCGACTGGGCCACCCAGGTGCCGAGTCGTAATTACTTTTATTATTTTTTTTAAAAGATTTTATTTATTTATTCGACAGAGCACAAGCAGGGGGAACAGCAGAGGGAGAGGGAGAAGCAGGCTCCCCGCTGAGCACGGAGCCCAATGCAGGGGTTCAATTCAAGGACCCTGGGATCATGACCTAAGCCGAAGGCAGAAGCTTAACGGACTGAGCCTCCCAGGTGCCCTCTGAGTCTTATTTTTATTTTTTTAATTAATTATTTATTTTAAGATTTTATTTATTTATTTGACAGAAAGAGACACAGCGAAAGAGGGAACACAAGCAGGCGGAGTGGGAAAGGGAGAAGCAGGCTTCCCACAGAGCAGGGAGCCCAATGCGGGGCTCGATCCCAGAACTGTGGGATCATGACCTGAGCCAAAGCCAGACGCTTAACGACTGAACCACCCAGGCGCCCCTGAGTCTTATTTTTTAAATGCAAGAACTGAGGACAACAAAGTCAACAGACAATATTAAAATTCAGGCTAGGGGCCCCTGGGCGGCTCAGTCATTAAACTTCTGCCTTCGGCTCAGGTCATGGTCCCAGGGTACTGGGATCAAGCCCCTCATCAGGCTTCGTGCTTGGTGAGCCTGCTTCTCCCTCTCTCTCTGCCTGCTGCTCTCCCTGCTTGTGCTCTCTCTCTCTTTCAAGTAAGTAAATAAAATCTTTAAAAAAATTAAAGTTTGATAATAAAGAATTATGAGTTATCCGTTTTTCTTTGGATGTCCTCACGAACATTTTATATGGAGCTAATTACTCTTTTAACAGCTTTATTGAGATGTAATTTACATACAATAAAATTCACTCATACTAAGTGTACAATTCAATTTTTTTAGTATATTTAAAGAGCTGTGCCACCACTAGAATCTAATTTTTATATTATTTTTTAAATTGAGATATAATGCACAACATTGTATAACTATTACGGCTCTCATTCTGGAACATTTTCTTCACCCCAAAAAGAAACCTTGTACTCATTAGCAATCTCTCCCCTTTTCTCTCTTATCCCTCCAGCCCTAGGCAATCACTAATCTACTTCTGTTTCTATGCATTTTTTTCTTAACATTTAATATAAATGGAATCATACAATAAATATGTGATTTTTGTGACTGACTCCTCTCACTTAGCATGTTTTCAAGACTTATCCATGTTGCTGCATGTATCAGAACTTTATTCCCTGTTATCATCTAATAATATTCTATTGTGTAGATGTACCACATCTGATTTATCCTTTCATTAGTTGATGGATATTTAGGTTGTTTCCACTTTTTTGGCTATTAGGAATAATGCTGCTATGAACATTTGTATACAAATTTTGTCTAGATATATGTTTTTATTTCTCTTGGGTAAACAACAAGGGGTGGAATTACTAGGTCAGGTGCTAATCACTGTTACGATGAATAACATACACATTTGTTTCTATTTCAAAGGATTTTTAACACAGCAAGGAGACAGACTTTTCATGAAAATCTAATATAAAATCTTTTTTAAAAAAATAAGGTTAATCTGCATACAGCTTCTCTATCAACAGAACTGTATCATATTACTTTCCAATTTTGGGTTCAAAAGGAGTTATAAAATGAGGTGAGAACTCCTTTTAGTGTAAATCATAAAACTAGATGGAGTTGGCAATAGCCTACTTAATATGCTAGGATCAAATTCTAATTTTTGAGCAGGATGTATATATTCATCTCCTTGGCGGACAACTGCTTAAGAGGCAAATACACAGTAAGGGAAGGCTTACCCAGTAGGAGGAGCAATAAATAGGAATTTAAAATACCAAACACCCTGAGTAAACTAAATTCTCATTTCCCTCCACTAGCGGGGGCCTGTTTTACATTTCATGAGAAAAAGGTGAATCGTTAATTATAATTAGTCATGTAAATTCCCAAAGCCTTTCATAAAAGCATCTTTCATAAACTGGAGCCCAAATAAACTTCTGTTCACATGTTTTTGTTTTGTTTTGTTTTGTTTTGTTTTCTGGCAACGTGCACTCTAATTCAAATATACTCAGGAAGCAAACTTTAAACAGAGAATTAAGAGCTGACTGTAAAATTCCACATTAAAAAAAGCATAAAGACACATTTTAATTTTAAAGAAAAGTCAAAAATCTTGCAGCAGAAATGAGGCATAATCAAGGGAAAACTACCAGACGTCCTACCAATCACAGCGCTGTAGAACGCCACAAGTCGTCCAAAAGACGCATTCGTTTTAGCCAACAGCTCTTTCCTCCCGCCAAAGCTGTCCCTAGAGCGTCAAAGAATAACCCAACGAGTGACTGATGATTTTTCCCTTTTGATTCCCCTCCGCCCCCCCCCCCCCACACATCCACCTGCTTGGAGGTGTCAAAGCGACTGGAAATGGTTAACAGTGACCAGCAGCAGAGAGAGAAACAAACACCCCTGACAACCCACAGCTGAGTAAGCAAGAGCTGTTTATTCACGAACATGTTCCATTTGGAAACTGTCGGCGAGCCCTTGAAAGACCAGGCACATTTTAGAAGGCTCCTAGAGAGGGAGAGAATAATCTTTTCTCCCCCGCCACTCCCCCAAAACACACACTGAGAAGCTCTGGTGGGAACCATCTGGTCAAGGCAGCCCCCCCTCCCCCGACCCCTTAGGAATAACCTCCCGCACCAGTGCATCCAACCCCTTGCGCGGGTTGTGTAACTCTCCAAAATGAGCTCAGACGCGGCAGAGGCTGGCCCCAGCCCTAGGGCTTCTGAAGGAGCTTCTGCCACCCCCACCCCCGCCCCCGCCACGGCCCGCCCCGACGCCGCGACCGGGGCTGAGGACCCTGATGAGAAATGGCCCTTCAGCTCCCTTCCCTCACCTGGCTCGGTCCCACCTGAGGGCAAGAGCTGAGAAAAGAAACAGGCAGGAAGGGCTGACCTTGTTGCTACTGACAGTGGAGCGGCACATCCTGCTGCTTCCTGGAAAGCGGCCCGAAGGACATTTTTCCCCCTGGAGGAAGGAAACGGGAGGGCGCCGGCCGGGCGGCGGCGGGCGCGGCGGCGGTGGTCAGGGCGGGCTGTGCAGCCTCTAGCGGGGACGGTCCGAGGACTACATCTCCCAGGCTGCTCTGGGCCGCCTTGCGTCGTGACCCCGACGCGCACGGAGGCGGTGACTCTTACCTCACAGAGGTAGCTCCTCCGCCGGCAGCAACCCGTCGCCCGCGGTCCATGGACCGGAACCCCGGGCCGACGGGCAGGAACCCGGGCCGCTATCGCCGCCTCCCCGCCCTAGACTCCTCCTCCTCGCTCTCCACCGCCTCCTCCGGACGCCCGCAGGACGCACACCGCCGCCTCCGGGCTCGCGGAGCCACCCCAGGAGGCTGGGCGGCGGGTTCGCGGCTGCCGCCGGACTGAGGCCTACTCGGCGGCCTCTCAGTGCTATTGTCCCTGGGCCCGGCCCTGACCAGGTCCACTGGGGAGGGCCGAGTGCGCCGGCTCCGCGGAAGATGCCGGACCAAGCCCTACAGCAGATGCTGGACAGGTACGGTCAGCTTTGGGGAAGAACGCGAGCCACGAATTCTCGCTCTGACTCTGGCCCTGCCCGCGCCCGGCCTCGAGGCTCTCCGTAAGCGGAGCCCGGCGTGCCGGGAGGAGTTCCACGGCTGGGGGGCCGTGTAAGGGGCAGAAAGTTTGGAGTCCGTGCTGGGGGAGGACAGAGCGGGTGACTCGGGTGCTGTCTTAAAGCGAAACTTAGGGAGTGGCGTCTAGTTTTGTTGGAACGCCCTTTTGAAGTGAGGGGCTTAGGTTAAAGCCACAGAATTAGTTTCTTTTTCGGTTTCTTACACTCCTCCCCTCCCCCCAAAACGATGTTGTAACGTGTTTGTCAGCGATGTCACTGGCAAGAACAACCAGACTATCTTTCAGGGGAGTGATCCCCTACAGTTTCAAGACTCTTTCCAAAAGCCAAGGGTAAGCATTCTTTTGGGAAGCCTGAGAGTCTGATTTCATTCCTTTTTTCCATCCCATCCCCACCCCCAAACTGTAAGGTCAAGCGTATCCACAAGGGAGCTTTAACGGTCAGACCAGAGTAGGAAGAGTAGGCTGTTATGGAAAACAGCCACATAAGTCCAACACTGAACAGTTAGCATATTTTATGATTCGTTGAGCTCACTGAGAAAGTTTTATCTTATACTGAGGCCAGTGGCCCATCTCTGGGGGGCTCCTGTCTGTGAAACTCTTGTTGAGAAATCGGTTGCACCGCCCTCTGCTGTTCAGATTTTAGTTCACGGGTTCTACCATGAGTTTTTGGAGACTCAGTCTCCATTTCTCCCTAGCCAGGTCTTTAAATTCCTGGCATAGCCAATGCTACAGGCTAATGCATAATGTTTGTTGTTGCTTACAATTGTCAGCATACCACTTGCTACCCTGTTAAGCAGGGGGTACAGTTCTTTGTATTGAGTAAGGTCCAACTGTAAGAGGTTAAATGAAAGGCCTTCCTTAACTGAGACTGTAAGAGGTTAAATGAAAGGCCTCCCTTAAGTGAGACTATACCCAGTTAAAAGCTGCTTAGATCAGCCACACCCAGAACACAAATCACCCAAGAGTACATCTCCTCCCAGAGTGACAGACGTTTCCTCTGGAGCTTAGAATTTTGAGACATCAATGTTGATAAAAATCATGTTACTTTTCAGTTCAGTTGGGATGACCCAGTGATTAATCCAGCCTTTGTTTGAGGTCAGCATTCAGGTCAGGTTGTATTGACTACCTCCTTTTTAATATAAGTAATTTCTAAGCTCCTAGAAGGCAGAAACTTGCTCATTATTTATCTTAAATCCTAGAACAGAGCCTGGTACTCGGTAGATCATCAGTAAGTATTTGATGAACAAAGTATGAACTTTTTTGTCATTTTCCCCAGTTGTCTAGGAGTCTGATAAGTTACCAGGTTTTTCCTTCATTATAATTTAGCATACTGGCAAATTGCAAAGGACTACTAATGCCCAGAGGAGACCTCCTCATTCCACTGCCAGTTCCAATCAAATGAGACCCTATTCTGTTGCAGGATATGTTGTAATTAGATTTTTTTTTTCCTTTGAGTGCTGCTTTCACTCTTACGTAGATGACTTTTAGAAGGGTTTTTGTGTCCAAAAGATGACCTGGCTATCATATGTTCTTTGGAGATTTCCATGAAAGTAAAAAGCCAAGGAGTATTCATGAGGCATTTACAACATCTCAACAGAAACTTGGAAATTCTGTGTTTACTAAAGCTGATGATTATAATATTGGCTTACCCACATCTTTTGTATCTTTTTGACATACCTCAACGTAGATTCTTAAGATGACATTCAAAGACTTTTATTATCTCAGTAGTTTGCAACCTGGTTTCACATTAGAATTACCTGGAGAGTGTTTTAAAAATATGCATGGGGGGCACCTGGGTGGCTCAGTCGGTTAAGCGTCCGACTCTTGATTTCAGCTTGGGTCATGATCTCAGGGTCTTGAGATCTAGCCTCCCCCCCATTCCCCCCCCACACACACTCAGCTGGGCATCTGCTTGGGATTTTCTCTCTCCCTCACCTGCCCCTCCCACTCCCCCCCATGCACACACACTTTCTCAAATAAATAAATTTAAGGTTTTTTTTTTTTTTTAATTTATTTGAGAGTAAGAGAGTACATGAGCGGAGGGAGAGGGAGAAGTAGACTGTCCTACTGAACAGGAAGCCCAACCCTGGGATCATGACCTTAGCCCGAAGGCAGACAATTAACCGACTTTGCCACCCAGGCACCCCTAAATAAGTAAATCTTAAAAAAAAAATATATGGATGGATGCCTGGCTCTGCCCAAGACCACTCAGAAACTGGTCTTTAGAGACCAGAGACTTTAGAGACCGTAATTGTGAAATTTTCATTTTACCACCAGTAAGTGGCAAAATGTGATTTTGCACTTAAATTCTGAGGCTATCCATCCTCATTTATAAAATGAGAATATCCGGAGTGCCTGTGTGGCTCAGTCAGTTAAGCATCTGCCTTCAGCTCCAGTCATGATCTCGGGGTCCTGGGAGAGCCCCCAGGCTCTCTGCTCAGTGGGGAGTCTGCTTCTCCCTCCCCTACTCCCTCTGTGCTCTCTCTCACTCTCTCACTATCAAATAAAAATCTTTTTTAAAAATGAGAATATCCACTGGGTGTTATATGCAAACAATGAATCATGGAACACTACATCAAAAACTAACGATGTAATGTATGGTGATTAACATAACAAAATTTTTTAAAAAATGAGAATATCCTACCTCGCAGGCTTGTATCAAATGAGAACACATATAAGCACTTTATAAAACAATAAAATGCTATACATGTGTTCAGCATACAGAAGGTACTTAAGATTCTCCAATAATCAACCAGTGTGGCAGTATTCCCCCCCATCTTCTTCATATTTACTATCATCTTAATGTGGGCTGGCCCTGCATACAAATTGAACACAAAGATACTTGATTGATTCATTTGAGGAATACTGACAAGCCCAATAGATTAATAGGGTTCATAATTCTTGCCAAGAATTTGGCTTCTCCCCAGCTTGGTTTTTGGGTGGCAGTTTTTGAGGGACGGAATTTAGCTCAGAAACCTGCCCATATGTTTATTTCTCCAATGCGGATTTTGTCCTTGAGAAGATTAAGGAAATATGTGTAACACATAAATTGTTTTGTTGCTTCTGGGTTAGAAGTTGTGTATTTGATAGTGAATAAGTATTTGTATTTATTGAATTTTTTTTTTAAGATTTTATTTATTTACTTGACAGAGAGAGACAGCTGGAGAGGGAACACAAGCAGGGGGTAGTGGGAGAGGGAGAAGCAGGCTTTCCGCGAGCAGGGAGCCCGATGTGGGGCTCGATCCCAGGACCCTGGGATCATGACCTGAGCCGAAGGCAGATGCTTAACAACTGAGCCACCCAGGCGCCCCAAGTATTTATTGAATTTATATAGTAAATATTAACTGCCTACATATACCTGGTACCATTCTAGGTCCTTGGTATATGTAGTGAACACAACCAAAAATCTCATATGGAGCTTAAATTCTAGTGAAGATCGTGTTTAATTTGTAGCATGGATTGTGTATTCAGTTTATACTACTTAGTCTTTCAGGGTTTTTAAATTAATGGCAACTTACTAATAGCTGAAGTCGAATTGACTTGTCCTTTGTGAATAAATTTAGTTTATCTTGATAAATTTTATTGCAGTATTTGTAGGTGGAAAGAATATATGTAGATATCTATTTTGATTGCCTTTCATTTTGGTAACAGCAACTGTCCTGTGTAAATTTATTATTCAAACCTTTTAAATTGCTGTGGGTAAACAATTTTTGAGAGTAGTGGGAAAGGGGGTGGTTTTCTAGTATCATGAGTGATTTGGGATCACAAATCATTGCCCTAAAATTATAAGCATTTATAAACTCAGACGCTTTATATTATTATTCTGTCACCATCTGTTTTCTTCATTTCTCTTATGTTTCTCAAAATTGGGATTAAATGTATAGAGAGTACAAAGAATATTGTAACAAACTGCAGGAAAGGACCTCATGTTTAAAGCCTAGGCCTGCTGAGTTTTGCTTTTGGAAACTTGACTTATGTATACCCCATCTCACAGTAAACAGGAATTTGTTGAGGTTGTTTTGCATCACTTATTTGCACCTGGTGAGTACGCAAGGCACTTAGCCAATGTCCCAAAACAGTCATATGGGAGGGAAAGCAGAGAGAATAATCTCTTCCCTGCCCCTTTCCTGCAGTGGCACAGTGAATTGGAATCCTCACTCTGAGTGTTATCAACCACAGGTGTACATCCCTTTGGAGGATGTAGGCTATTATTGGAACATGCCATATATCAGTCTACAATTTGCTTTTTTTTTAATACTGTTTTGAGTTCTTTGATACTCAGCAATTAAAGAGAATGTAATATTCATTGGATTGACATTCTCTTTTTTAATTTTTATTGTTATGTTAATCACCATACATTACATAATTAGTTTTTGATGTAGTGTTCCATGATTCATTGTTTGCGTCTAACATCCAGTGCTCCATTCAATACGTGCCCTCTTTAATACCCATCACCAGGCTAACCCATCTCCCCCCCTCCCCTCAAGAACCTTCAGTTTGTTTCTCAGAGTCCATAATCTCTCATGGTTCGTCTCCCTCTCTGATTCCCCCCTTCATTTTTCCCTTCCTACTATCTTTTTTTTTTTTTAACATCTAATGTATTATTTGTTTCAGAGGTACAGGTCTGTGATTCATCAGTCTTACACAGTTCACAGCGCTCACCATAGCACATACCCTCCCCACACAATGGAATACTATGCAGCCATCAAAAAAAAAAAAGAAAAACGAAATCTTGCCATTTGCAACGATGTGGATGGAACTAGAGGGTATTATGCTAAGCGAAATAAGTCAGTCAGAAAGACATGCATCATATGATCTCATATTATTCTTTTTTACTTAATCTTTTCCCCTATTTATGATATTTAGGTCTTTATTTTCTCCTTATTAGCTTTCCTTATAATT